TTTTTTTTTTACACCACCCATCTATCATGTTGTCGAGGTAATTGTGTTATTGCTGACAACAGATATCACGGATATACATTGTCACCTCAATGCCAGTTCGTTTAGAATGAATACTTCTGTTTTTGGATCTCTAACAGTGACCTTACTGTGATGGCATGTTTGCCTAACTGCCGACGACTTCAGTGTCATTGTTGTCTTACAGCTATCAATAGCATTATTTGATCTAAAAATGGATTCAATATTTTAGATCGTCAAGTGGTACAACTGCGAGTTGAAGGGAACCGTATTTTAAGTGGTGCAGAGTTAAAGCGAAGTTCAGAAACAAAAATGGCATTTGTTTCACCTAGTGGAGTGGTGCCGGTAACTCGTCCGCCAGCCACACCTGTTCAACCAGGTTGTAAGTTTCATGTTTTCTGTTGTATTACTTTAGTACTTGATTGTACTAACATTTATTTCATGGCTTATTGAAGAGTTGAATTATTTTCGAAGATGCTTGGAAATTTTTTTAATATTGCTGTAGCAGTATAATTATGTCAAAAACTTTTCTGCTTTTCTTGTGCGCAAATAATGTTATTTTTTTTCTAATGGATTATAATGAATATTTTATAGTTCGTCGTACTCATAACGACTGCGCTCGGGTGACACCAATGGTAAGAACGTCAGCACCTGTCCTCCTTGAAACATCAAATGTAGGCTCATAATTGTAAAATAAAGTGGTGTTTTCAGAGCAGATTAATCAAAATCTTTTCTGTTCCTATTTCCTAGAAACTTTCTAAATAAACTTTAAAAAAACTATATATGTAGTTTTTTTGAACAGTTACTTATGTGACAGTTATTTGGGTCATTCAGGCAAATATTGGGAGTACGGGAACTTTACTGGAAAGAGCTCGTTTAGACGACTTGATGAGGCAAATCGATCCAACCGCCATCTTAGAAGATCCTGCCAAAGATGCTTTGCTTGAATTCATGGATGACTTCGTTGAAGAAGTAAACTTTATTGGTTTTCGTAGACTTTGAGAAATTGTATTTGTTAAGTTTTATTTATCAATTTTTGTTTCATGATAGATACATATCTTTTTCTCTTCTGTGTTTTTAGACATTTATTTTCAAACTCTAATTTCATAGTAAACTACTTCTTTTCTGAGACTTCGCGGCAGTGTTTGATGCGAAGATAGACATTTGCTTCAGAATTTTATTTTTGCCAGTTCCGGTCAACTTCTCTACAGACATTTCCTGTTCAGGTATCTTCACCTGGAAGGAAAGAGGATTACACATAGGGAACGGGGAAAAGTAGCTGTAGGAGGCTGCGGAGAAGAAGATGAGACGGGAAGTACTTTTCAGAGATATATATAAAACATTATTTTGGTTTACCCATTTCGTAATTTTATTGTAAATCTAATCAGTGGTTGAGTGGTTTTGCAGATTATTTAAATTAAAAATGTTGCTTTTTTCTTTTTTTTAGTTTTCTGTTCACCTATTTTGGTTATCAGCATCATCCTATTACCTTACATTCCGTTTCCTTACTGCTGTTCAAATTTTGAGCTTGTTATGCTGGTGGTGTAAACTTCTATCTTAGAGATTATTTTTTAGGTATACCTCACATTTGCCACTGACTGCATTGGTGGTTGCTTTTGTACCGTTACTGTAGGTTAGCTAGAGAACAACCAACACTGTAAAATTACTGATTCCAAGACCTGTTGTAGTTTTTGCTTCCAGCTTGAAATGCGCTTTTTTTCTATGTTTTCTAGCGTTTTTTTGTGCATTGGATTTTTTACTGCACACTATTCACCTTTTGTTGTTTCAGAAAAAAACTGTGTGCTTTCTAATGGATTCTTACCTAAAATGTTGAGATATACTCTAAATAAGACTTCATTTCACTACACCAGCGCTAGAAATAATTTTCTGCGAAAGTGGGCGAATGTTGATGGTGCAAACTTAAAATTAAACTTGAAAAGTGGTACTAAATAAATACACAGTTTTTTTCAATTTTTTTTTGGATTTGAATAAGTAAGAACGCGATGGAAAAATCGTAAACGAAAAAAAGATAAAAAGGCATATTTACATGTACAATGCCGCTGAACGTAGGAAATATCTTGCATGAAAAGTCTTTGAGACTCCGACTGAATTTTGGTCATTGGCATCGCTTCAAAAGCAACTATTTGGGACAATGACAACGTAGGTCAATCGTCGTAGCTCAGATTTTAAGATAGGGTAACTTCAAGAGCTTTCCGCTTCTTTTGAGAGGAGTTAGAAGCGAGTTGGGCTCATAAGCTGAGAGAACACCCAAACACTTAGAAATTGGGCTAGAGAAGACAGGAGTAATGGGAGCTCTTCTTGCGAAGCAGCGAGGACAAAAGGCGACTTCATTTTAATTTTACTTTTTTAGGTTATTGAACGAACCTGCCAAGTGTCGCAACATCGTGGATCCGAAGTTATAGAAGCAAAGGACGTGGAATATGTCTTAGATAAATACTTCAAAATTCCTCATTTTCCCAAGGGTAATGGCATTGCCGAACTTTTAAAGGGTGAAAACGAAGGACCATATGCTGAGAAACGCTCGAAACATGCTGATTTTACTGCGCATAACCAAAGGCTTTCTGTTATCAATAAGACCATTAAAAAGATTTAGGTTGGAAATTTTGTCTGTCACTACGAATATATAATTAGATTTCCATAGATCTCGTCATTACTAGTCTGCAGTATTTGTGAATTAGTAGCCAATAGTAACCTGTAATCTTTGCAAGTCTTGTTGTCGGCTTTCTTTGGTTTCTGAGTTACAAGTTTACTAACCCATAGACTATTTGATTATTTTAGCGTTTTATTTTTCCGGAAAATGTATGTTGCTGTATTCATAGTTTTAGCTTAATGTTGACTCATTTTTTTCCTATGACTTTCTCTTTTGTCGCTAGTTTTTATTTTACTTTCTTATCTTGATATTGCAATTTCCAGTTTCTGTTTATTTTACAGTAGTTGATGTTAGCTGTTTTTTTTGCATAAGCTTACAGTTTTTGATTAGAGAATGATCTCCATTTTTTGCCTAGATGATGGTAATGATCACAGTTAGGATTAAGGACATTGGAGTTAAACTGTGTTATTATTCAGTTTAAGGATTCTCTGACTTACCTTTTTTCATTAGATAAGTTAAATGTTTATGCGCTGGATGCTTGAGGTGTTATCGTTTCTTTTTTAGTAAAAATGCTCTTTGAAAGAAAAATTTAATGTTTTCTACGGGCTTGTTGAAAAATGGGGAAACGGGAGTATCGGTCCACCATAAAGTCTTTTATTTTTTTCTCCGGTTAAAATTTTTCGGTTTCATTTTGAGTAAGAAGTTTCAAGGACTTGGTAATTTAGCCGTTGAAGTTTTGATTTAAATTCTTTTTTGTTTATGTGTTACTTTAGCTCGATCCAGCGCTAAACAAAGGCACTTGTGTTATACCGATATTCTCCCATTAATCTATATTATCTAAAAACTATCATTTCTCTTGATTTTGGTAGTGAGTAAGGAATGGCCGCCTCATGTTGAATCGAAACTCACATTATAGACTTTTTGGAACGCTGTACGCGTTTATTTATTTACTGTGGGGTCTTGCTCAACTCGTTATTTATCTGATCTTTCTGGCTTCTTACCTTGTCGCAATATGTGTTAAGGAAATGGTTAGTTACTTTTTTTATTGCTTGCTGGGATATTTTTGCTAAAGAGGCTCTTGACTGTTGTTGTCTTCCTAAGAACTGTCGAGAGATCTCTTTTCAAGTTTCTTTGTAAGATTTCTGCGGTTTGTAGCTTTAATTACATGTCGTCTATCTAAGGTTTTGAAAAATGAAGTTGGTTTGGAATTATGGGCAAATTTATTCTGTACTTTATGAGATCTCTAGTTAAATGTTGCTCAATGTGATTACTCTATAAATTTATTTTATTTTTTGCATGACTTGTGAGTTGATGAGTCCACCCAATAAAATAGTGCTCTTTGGTCAAGTTTATAGTCAATCAATAACGTTCAGAACGCAGGAAATTTAATGTTGATTTCATCAGAGATAGAGCATTTTAATTAAATCATCGGCTAATGCATACTCTAGTCTGTAGTCTTTAAGGCAGAACTTATTTTCAAGTCACATGGAGAGGCACTCTTTGTTGGTTTACTAAAAAATTTCATGACGTAGAGCGCTTAAAAAGAAAATGCGTTTGGTCGTATTGAGTACTTCTGGACGGTTTGGCCTGATTGGGACTCTCTTAAGCAGAAGTTCTGATTAGTTCTGACTGTAGGTCGGGGTGCTATAAAAATGGTGGCGATATATGGTAAAGTTTAAAAATTAAAGAATTAATATGTTTTCTTATTGACTTTTACGTTTATTTCTGTTCTTACTCTTGCTCTTGTTCTTGGCAGTTGAGTAGGACGGTTTTTAAGATAGTTATTCTTGAGAGCTGATCTGATTTAGAGGACTATGCATTCAGAGGCTTATGAAGGCTAGTTTTTTACCATCAGGTTAGTGCAAAATCAGTAACGTTTTTGAGTGAGACGACTTGAATGGGGCTTTTAAAAACCATCTGGTAACCATCTGGTACTTTAAAATTAGGCGAAGACTCGAAAAATCTTCCAGAATTGCCAATTTGGAGAGCTTAAGAGCTGTAAATCTGCATAAACGTGGTTTAAATTTACTCAGGTTTGGTGATAAGATTGAAGAAAAAAGTGAAACTATGAGAGAAACTTAAAGGGTTTGAGATTTTGAGGGTTATTGTCTCAACTGAAATTTTTCTAGAGTTCTGGACGTTTGTTTCTGAGATTGACGGTTGAATGAAGCTTCTTGGCAAGAAGCTCCTCAAGAGATAAAGTTAAGCGTTTGAAAATAGCCGAGAAGGACAATTCAAATAAAAGCGCAAATGTTATAGTCTAAGGTTTTGGTTCTAGCCGCTAAGTTGATGATGTTGTTGCCAAGGAGGACCTTAACTGTTGTTGTCTTCTGTATGGGCATTTTGGAGGAAGAGCTACATTTGTGGACTTTTAAAGATTAGGGTCAAAGCAGTAAATCTGTTTTTTTTTCCCGACTGTATTTAAAAGATCCACTTTTTTAGTAGTCAGCCATGTGTGGACCACTTTTGGCTGCGAATGTACAATGGATAATTGCCATCAAAAAGATGTTGTGCTAAATCAGCGTGGTCTTTTAAGTCTCTTCTTCTTCAGTTGCAGTCAATTTCATGATTCAAATGAGTACATATATATAAATATGCATGAAAAGGGGAAAACACCGAAAAAAATCAAGTTAAAAACGGGTTTTGTGATTTCTTCATTGTTTGATACTGAAATTCCCATGAATCAGTATCAATTCGTTGACAACGATATACTGATTTTAACAGTTTTTCGTTACAGTTTGTATGATGTAGAATTCTGAATTCATTGAATTAGAAATATTTAATTGGTCTTGACATCGACAGAGTCTTTCCTTCGGCTATAGGATTGTCAGAAAAATAAAATAATTAATTACTGAAAATTATTCTTGCGTAATAAGCTGATGTCATTTGGATTTCCTGATATGTTGCTCAGCAAAAGGACAAAGTTTAACTGTTGGTACATGGAAAATTCTTCCGTAAAACTGTCTTTATTTAAATAATGCAGCTTTCTAAGTGAATTTTAATCTTAAATTATCTCTTTTGTTGGCTTTTTTGAGTCTAATGCCTTATTTGAAATTGTTGAAGTTACCTGGTTGTGGCTTCATTGATTTTCATTATTGTCGTCGAAGTTATGGCTTTCAAGTGTAGAAAGCATGGCTATAGTAAATTTCTACTTCTTTGTTGGTATTATTCAGTGTTTTTTGTCAAATGCCACAAGAGATTTAGTTTACCTAAGTTTAGGGTTCACCAATTACAATAAGCCGATTATTTTGTTCAATGCACTTTCAGTAAATCTGTTTACGTGTTTAATTCGATTATAATGTTTGGATCGAAAAGTAGAACTCCGAAGTTGCTGCCTGGTTAAATACTAAAACAACAGTAGGACTACTCCCTGAAAAGATTAATACTGTAACTTGAAAGGCTTAATGTGGAGCTATTGAATACTACAGTTCCACCAATAATTATTTGCCGGATGACCTCATGGTTTTCCACGTCATTACTTATTCTTTTATCTGAATTGCCAGCTGATGAGGAACCATAATCACACATTTACTTCTCTATAAGACGTACGTTAGACGTTGCTCAATAAGATTAAGTTCAATCTACAATTTTTGTATTCACTTTTCTCTTGTCTCAAAGCTACAAGGTATTAAATCAGAAAAGTTGAGCGAACTGCCAATATATGGCATCGTACATTAATACTTCTCAATAGTTACAGATGTCATCTCACTTTAGCCAAAAAAAGCACTGTTGTTCAAAGTATTTAGTGTACCTAAAGCGCGTTTCAATAACTGAATCTTCCGTAGCAGTTTCTGTAATGGGCAGAAGTTCTGTCCGCTATCTGATCATTTAAAGTTCTCCATAACGAAGACATCTTATTGCATTTAACAATATTTGAAACTTGACCACCTTTGACATGTATTCAAAAAGACTTGGTAATGTAAGCTTTTTTGATTTCAATGGTATATTAAAATAATTTTATAAGTAAATTTGCACTAGAAAAATTTGAGTTTTACTTGCTTAACTGACCACTAAATTCGCAGGAACTATGAGCAACGACATTTGGCCGGACGTTGACTAACTTGTCAGTTTTGGCAGTATTAAGGCATTTGGGATACAGATGAATAAAAATAGTAGCAAAATTCACACCGTAATCGTAAAATTGGTCATATTTTTCTTTTTTTAAATCCGGTTTGCTCAATTTTCCATTTTTTTTTTTCTCCTTTAGTACTACATAATACAAATAGCTACCATTTTGTATGCTGTTCACGCGTTACATCAGGAACCCTGCAATCAAACTATTGTTAGTATTTTGATTTCCACCTAGTTTGAAGACCGAATTTGTTTGGCTTCTTGTAAACAGGGAAATTATTGCCGATTTGGAAGGGCAAAATAGATGGATAAACAAATAACTTTTGTTGTTTTGTTTTTCTGAATCTGAAGAATTTTTTTGTTGTTTTTTAGAAGAAGAAGCAAGGTCTAAAACGCTTATAGGTGGGTCCTAATGCTTAGTACAGAAGTAAAGAATAGAACTTTCATCTTTAACATATATCCAAAAAATGCCCATTGGTCAGTATCCTACTACGCAGTTTACAGAATCGGCAGTATGAATGTTTTAGTGAAGGTTTTTCCCATTTCAAACGACTATAATGGCACTGAGGAATGCCACACTGTGAGAGAAAGCATCCGATGCAGCAGTTTGATGCTTTCCACCTGTATCATCCAAAAAATATTCAACATCACCAGTGTCGAGTATCCGCTTTGCCGTATTCACTGTGTCGCAAACGGTTGTCGTCGATTTGTAGCATTGTTGACCCGACAGACACCTGACTTTACGGAATACAAAAGGAGCAGATGTCGGTGAATACAGTAAACAGTGTCCAGCCTGGTTTCCGCCATCGACCATCGTCGTATTCTGGCACAACCTGCATATCATGACAAAGCACACCTCGGTTTTTATAACTGTTTCTTCCTCTCCGCCGTGTCTGCCGTTTTTAAAAGATTTAGGCGCCAAATGAGGCCAACAAACAACATTGACAGTTGCTCATTTCGGTCATCTCTTACACATCTACATTTGCCTCAGTTCTGGCTCTTTGCAGTTGGAAACGAATACTTGTACTCTGAAGAATTTAATGGGTTTCATAAAACCTTAAAAAGAATTCTTTGGGGTTGATGATCGTCTTGTATCGTTATCATATATTAGCTTCTTACTGTGCTTTCTGATCAGTTGCAGTGGAGACAGCGGATGAGTTGACAGGACAAATAGCCGGTATGAAATTCACTGAACAAGAGGCAAGTTGGTAACCGTGGCAAATTTTACTCAAAAAGATATATTGTATCCTGTTTATGTGGATTCAGAACTGTAAGTGTAAATAAGTGTGGATCTGGTGTGAAATGCAGAGAAAATTTGATGTGGTAGCTTTGTTGGGCTCAACTTTGTTTTCTTCACCGTTCTAAAAATTTGATTGTCACTGCAAATGTTTATCGGAATTTGGACCACGAATTGCACTTATTATATGTGCGTTGTTCTGAGAAGCTTTTTTATTCTCTCGCAAACAAATATGTATATATTTAAAAAATATATTCAAGTTCTAAACTGCTAGTCAAAGTCTGGATTTGTTCTAGTATACTGTACGTCAAATGCGGTTGTCTTGTTATCAGTTGATAAGTTGGTAATGATTTAAGAGTCTAACCTGCGTTAAAAGTTGCAGGTCGATGTCAACTGCTTTACTCTGGGTTCTTCTAGCATTTCAACTGGGAAATAAAGTTTTTTCCGAGTAAGTTTATAGGTTTTTGGACTTGATATTATGTTCATTGTTGATTTTATAAGAAGAAAAAATGGTCTGAATTTATTTTGCAATCATATTTCTTACACAACATGTTTTTGATATCGATTTCTTGCTATTCGGAACATTAAACTTTTACTCTAGCAAAGCAAGAACGTTTTTTATGACAAGTAATGCTGATTTGTCTGAGTCATTTGTCTAAGTCACTTCTCTATTATTATCGTTATTATTGTTACGTTATTATTGTGACTGTTATCATTTTTTAATCATTTGCTTAAAGATTCCTCTTGCTAACCAAACACTGACACGATATTTGTTGGCTTTCTGTTTAATAATAAAAGCTGCTTCTATCAATTTTTTGTTCTTGTAGATATAATGAATAATACATTAAAAGTAAGGGTTAGCTTATTGCTGTTAACTTCAGGAATGTTTACTGTACGTACTATCGAGACAGAGATCAACTTACATGCGGGTTAGTAAGTTTATTTTTATAACAGTTTTATTAATTAGCCTTTTTTTGCAAACTCGTACTCTCAAATTTTTAAAAAAAGTTCTTAAAGCCTTCTTGGTTATCATAGTTAAGTTAATTTTTCAACTTTTAACCAAAAAGTCTTTAATTAGGATTGTTACATGTGACACATTAGTGCCGGCAGGTGGTGATCTGGAAGAGGAGGGCCTGGACATAAAACTACCTCGCGGTTGGTATCGAATTGGAACGATGCAGGTTCGACACGACTCATCTTGGTTTAACCTGTATCGACGTCGTGCAACTGGCTTTGGTTATTGGGATTTCTATACCAACATCCCGGAAAGGAATTGTGCGGGGTAAGTGAAATAAAAGCGTGTTAGACTCAAATGAACTTTGCCATCTGATATACATGGCTGGTTTTTGAAAAAAAGCTTTGCGCATAATTATATGAGTTTTTTTGGACTTTTAGTTGTTCAAGGTACATATTTGCATTAGAAGTTGTTTGTAATTTTGTTGAGTGCATGATGTACAATTATCAGTAATCAAAAACTAGTTTCTGGGATCGGTTTGAAATTGTTAGAATTTCGTAATGCCTTGTTTTTTCGCCTGCCAGGCAAATTTTTCATGATTTCTCTTTTATAGCGGGTTTGGGATTCATGCTGGTGAAAATATTCCTGGAACTGTAACTGTGAAAGAAAAGCGATGTTTTGACAGAATTGTAACCCAAATAGAGCGTAAGACTACCAGTGAAAAGTTTGATGTCTTGCAATGCAGGAAGTGCTTATTCAACAGTTGCTGGTTGGGTACGAGAATACTTCCAGCGCAGAGAGAGTATCTGACAAATTTAAGATCGGTTTGAAGACAGCTTTATAAGCCCTTGAATTTGTGTAAAAGAGTAATGGCAGGTTTTGTGTACTGGTCTTTATTTGATCCTTGCGACTAACCTTTGATCTTTTGTCGGTAAGCTTCTGGGCACAAATAGAACTGTAGCAGACATTCAGAGTGTAATTTTTAGTAGGTACTTTTATATGACACAGTCAACTAAGGCAATTAAGGTGCTGTAAATTTTACAACCAATTCTATTTGATTTACTTTTGCAATTATTTTGAGCTCTGAATTACAGCTCAGAGTGTTTGATGCCCCTGGTTACTAGTGCTTCTTTTTGATCTTTTCCAATTTTTCTTTTTTTTTTTTTAAATTAGAGAACGACAAAGCTCTATATTTTGGTTCATCTAAAAGAAGGAGAAAAACACCAATTGGAGTTCAGTAAATTCTCATTTCTTTCATGTTTTTTAAAAAGAAAAATATAGATATTAATTTAAAGCTTGACAGTTTTCACACTATCTGAACAAGGAGATGTTCATCAATTTTTTAATTTTTGAAATACTTCTTGATAACCACTCATATCTTGTAAAAATGGGAGCAACAAGGTCGTTTGTCAATGCAGAATGTACAGTGGAGAATTGTGTCAGTGATCACCTTCGAATTACAAAGTAAATTTTAATGACAATGAAGAAAAGATGTCCAGTCGTTCGGTAACTATACAATTTTCCTTTTTTTCTTTTGTAAAGTTTCTCATTTCACAATTAAAAAGCATGTTTTTACATATGGTATATACAACATTTGTTTCCTATATAACTAAAAAAAGCTTGTCTTTTTTCTAAAGGGAAAACAGAGTGACAGCAAAAGAAAAAACAGAGGAGCGTAAAAAAAAAACACTTAAATAAAACGCTATTGAATATGTATTTGTGCTAACCATTCAAACAGTAGCCATATGGCAAATGCGAATCCGAAGACAAAAATTGTCGTAATTCCAAGGCAAATGTAGCACCGTCGTTCAACTGTTCGTTGATTTTTGTAATTTGGTGGCGGCAGTGATAATGGTCGCATATCAATTGGTTTTTTTGGCTTATATGACCTGAAATTTCAGCTACTGGAACAAAATGACACAGGTATTGTTTTAATGCAACAATAACAACGGATTAATTGCCAGTTTCAGTGCTTTATTTAATGCTGTGGATATTTTATGCCCAACAACGGAATTGCACACAGTTCAGTCGGTTTAAGTGGTTTAACAAACATCAATCTTTCATATGAAGCGGAAGCAAAACCTCGTCGTTTTTGAATCGTCGAGTAAATCATAATCAAACAAGTTTGAGAGATGTTAAATATTAAAAAAAAAATTTTTTTCTGCTGACAGCCGCTAAAACAAGTCGGTGAAGTGGGTAAATCTATAGAAAGGATAACGGATTGTTCTCTTATCCTATTATGGTTGAAAATATTAAGCTTTTTTTTTTCTTGCAAATAAGAGGCTTTACCTTAGGTTATTATGGTTAACTGTTGGTTGTTTATAGATTTAGCTGACTGGTTAACTTTATCATAGGGATGCAGAAGAAAAAAAAATTTATTTGTATTGTGAAGTTTAGGCTAGCCAGATATTTGTGTGAAAAATAACTAGAGAATAGTAGTAGATAAATCAAATAAAGTGCTTTTTGATTTTAAACAACCAACTTATTTGTCGTTACAAATTAGCTGACAACAACTTCCTCTGATCTCATTTATTATACAACCTTACGACACTAAAAAAGATAATGGAAGAGAAAGGTCGGAAGAAGAGGAAAGACTATATCCCACTGCTTTACCTTCTTTTCCTTCTTCTTCTTCTTTCATATCTGCCTTTAATTTTCAACAACACTGTTAACAACTGTTGCTATTAATGGGTGAAAACAAAAATAAAAAATAAAAAATAAAGATGTATCAGCGCAAATATACTACCACAATAAGAGCTTTTAACAAAAAATGAATGATTTATTGGCACTTTTTTCTTTCTGTTCCCGTTTGTAGTTCTATAATTTTTCGTTCTGCTCTTTTCAACTCATTTTTACTGAGAAGAAAAAATGCCAAAAAAAAGATAAAAAGAAAATGGAACAAAATTATAATCATTCAAAAAGAAAGAAGAGAGAGACAGTTTATTAACCTTTTAGAAATTTTGATGGTTTTAAAAAAAAATGGATTTTTATTCTGTAGAATCATGAAAAAAGGTTACAAGAATTTTGTTGAAGTATACGGACGAGAGAGAAAAATGTGCTACAAGTTTGAAGTACTCGCGGGTTTTTACTTAATAAAATCTTGCTAATTTTAGTTGTTTTTTCTCAATATTTTCGTTGCCTACCATAATTAGCTATAGATTTGGAAAAGAGATGAGACTTCAAAGAACGGAAGGAGGAAGAGGTAAGAGACACTGAAAAGTATAATGAAAAGCTATTAATCAGAAAATTTTGTATTGAAAACGCTTGTGAAGTAGAAAAAAAAGACAAATCAGCTCTTCCTTTTTTACCAGTATTCTTTTTCTGTTGTTTTGCTCATAAATTTCAGTATCAATATACGGAACTGAGAAAATATCAAAGTACTCAAACGGTAAGGTCAAAAATTGCTACGGTCACAACAGTTATTTATAAATCAAAGAATCAGTATAACTGTTTGCCATGTAGACATCTGCAATATCTGTATTCTTATCTACAGGGACCATTGTGCTAAAGTTGAATTGAGTAGTTTGATACTTTATTGGTTTGTGTAGCTGACTGTTTGTGTTCTGAGGTCTACTTGAATAGAAATTTACCAACTTGTGTATTGTGTGCCTTCGTAATCTATTCAAAATTTTTGTGTATCCGACTTAGTGTATTTAATTTTTGTTTCCTTTAGTTCGTCCTTCTCCATTTCACCTTCCCTCTGATCCTTCAAACCATCTTTCCTTTTTTTCCTTCCCCCTAAATCCCCTTTTCAACACTCTTCTTCGTAAACTTCTTTTTCCTCAACCTTAATTCTTCGCTTTTTTCCAACCCTTCATTGCACTGTACTTTCAAACCTTTTGTTTGTTGGGCTATAGCGCAAACAAGAAGAATTGTCGTTAATTGAAAAAAAAAAAATTTTTACACAAAGTACATTAGAGGTAAAAGCGTGAACGAAAGTCAGTAGGAAATTAACTGTATTATCAAAAATTTGTTACCTTTTTTTCTGCTTTTTTCCTCAAAGTAATAACTGTTTAAGTGTTGGGAAGGTGGGGGAGGGGGAAAAAAAAAAGAAGAAAAACAAGGAAAAGGTTGAAAACTATAATAAATACAATATTTAATAGTGGAAAAAATGAGACAGTAAAAATAAATAGAAGTGAAGAAAATTCTTACATGCTTGTCTCCATTGTATCATATTTTAGCCGATGGCTACCGTCCGATGAACTTAATGACGGATCGTAAGTATCATTAGTCGGTGTTGTTCCCTTATAAATCGGATTATCGTTGACTGTACATACCGGTTGGTACTGTCCATTGCTGTGTGAACAGGCGGACTTCAGTGAACAGTCTGCATAACACCCGTAATTCTCCAAATTTTCGTATACTGGCGGCGGTGAACATTGTGTGCCCACCGATGAACAACTTGGGCTATGTATGGATACCGATATATTACTGAGTGTCATTGTTCGTTGAACTCAGTTTACGGGTCCATCTAAGATCATCCATCAATATTAAACAATTATAAACC